GCTGGAGTCAGAGTTCTGCGAGCTGTGGTGGATGGTGGGCCCCGTGGAGACTGTTCGCTGCTCGTACAGAGAGGCCCCGCCCCCCAGCACGTCGGGGCTGGCGTAGAACACGTCGCGGATGCTGGGTCTGTCCTTGAACGGCTTGTGGCCCGGCGGGAACACCACGGTGGGCGGGCCCGACGAGCTCTGACCTTGACCTCGGCTCTTGGGCCAGGTGCCACTGTTACTGTCCAGCTCCAGCTCTCGTTTCCGCGGAGATTTCGGCACCCTAGACAGGAGGTCGGGCGGCGGTGGCGCGAGGGGCTGGCCGTGGGGGCTGGGGTTGGAAGCTCCCCCCACCTGGGCGTAGACGGTGTTGTTGGGGAACTCTGCGATGACGTTCTCCGTGCTGGGCAGGTTCACCTGGGTGCTGCAGTCTTCCACCGGCTTGTGCTGAGACTTGCTGCCACCACTGTTGCTGCTGTTGACCCCCGGTTCGAACCCCGACCCTACCCCCCGCGGCGGGAGCTGGCCGCCTGACTCCTCCACCCCGCCGTCGTGTTTGTCTTTCTTCTCCTCCGCCTCCTTCTCTCTCTCCTGGCTGCGGTGTCGCGAGCGTAGAATCTTCTCCACTTTCTCCTTAGCCTTGTCCAGCATGGGTACGCTGTGCCTCACTTTCTCCTGCTCCGTGTTGCGTAGAGCTTTGCGTGGGCTGGGCCCGGGGCTGTCCAGGCTGTCCGTCTGCGACCCGCTGCTGCGCAGGTTTTTGCTGCTCCCTGCCCCGCGCCCCCCCTCCCCCGCGCAGTCCCAGGAACTACTGCGCACGGCCAGCGTGTCCGACTTGCTCTTGGGGCTGGACGCGGAGATGGCCTCGGGGAGCGGGGAGTTGACCCCCGTGGAGGTCGGGGTCGGGGAGGAGCCAGCCGAGTTGAGCGGGGAGCTCTGTCGCCACACGTCCAGCACCACAGACTCGCTCGACGTCTCCAGGATCCGCATGGCCTCTCTGGCGCTCAGACTGTCGCCAGGGATGTTGTTGATCTGAGGGACAGGACATTGGCCACGTCAGTCAACATTGCGACAGGGGAAAACTTACATAGATATATACACAAAATGTATACAAATATACATATATATATATATACTAGCTGGGCCCCCTTTCCATGACAAGAATGATCATTGCATTAACATCAACTAAAAGTCATTGGCCAACTATATTTACACTCTACTGGAATGGAGCAATACATCTTGAGGGAAAAGTGACACATGTGTTTCCAAGTTGCCAAAGATATAATAGAATGTATAGATGGATTCTCTACTCCGCTGTCGTGGTTGTACACTCCAGAATGTTAAAGGTGTGGTATCAGTGCGCACGGTTAGTGAACGGAAACCTCACTTATTTAAAATGGAAGACGTACTTTCTCAGGATTAGATCTAAACGAAACTCATGAAAAACTGAAAATTAAACTACAGTGACTTCAGGCTCCTCAGTAAAACTGTGCACCCTTTACATGATTCTGAACCACTGTTAACTTTGTCCAATTACAAGAGAGTAACAAACACAAAAAAGAAAGAGGAGAGATAAGGTCGATAGATGTTTGATAGGAAAGAAGGAGGAGAGATAAGGACGATAGATGTTTGATAGGAAAGAAGGAGGAGAGATAAGAGCGATAGATGTTTGATAGGAAAGAAGGAGGAGAGATAAGAGCGATAGATGTTTGATAGGGAAGGAGGAGGAGAGATAAGGACGATAGATGTTTGATA